AACTTGAAGGTAGACAGCACTGACCTCACTTAAATCTCTGCTCTGAGCCCCTGGGTAAGGGCTGGTGGCTGGGAGATGCTCTGGTTTCTGGGGTGTCTCGCGCCTTGAGTCAGATCCAAGAAGGAGGCTGAGTGAGGAGGCTGGGCTTCCCCATATGAGAACCCAGAGATGCTAGGGCCTCCCTCTGTCTGCGCAGTGAAAGGAAGGCCCAGAGCCTGGCGTGAGGTTAATGAGTCGCTCTCACTCTGCAATAATCTGATAAATGGCTCTTCCTCCCCCAGATCCTGTCTGGAACCTTTAGCTCCTTTCTTGGGCTGGTTGCTGCCTGGTGGAGACCTCTGAGCAGGCCATTATTGCTTAATTACTGGCTAAACGGTCTCATTTGTTCTCCATTTGTCAGTGGTGAGTCCCAGCTAGGGCAGCAGAGAGAATTTTGAAATTCCTCATAGAGCTTTGGTTTTGGGAAATAAAGATACCCATGTCTCCGTCCCCGCTGCCACCCTCTGGTCATGCTGGCCACAGAGATGGCTGAGCAGCTCCTGGAGTTAGTGCTGGCTGTTTTCTCTACTGCCATCTGAATTGCTTTCGTTGCTCTCCTGTTTGCTTTTTCCTTTCTTATCTTGGCCTCTCCACTCCTTCAGCCTGGTGTGGGAGAAGTTGGATTCTGCAGCTGGGAAACTTGGTATGAAATCCCGGTTTCTAGATCTACTCAGGTCTATGCCCGTCCAGGTGGGCGACTGGATCTCCACACCTTTATATGCAAAATATGTGCACTAGAAACACAGTGCAAAGTGGGTGCACTAGCCTCATGATGGCACGGTGAGCAGGATGTAGAAGTAAGTGGGATACAAGCAGGATTTCCACTGTCAACTAGGGTTGGGCACGTTGTACAAATGCCAACTTTAATTCTATTTTCTTCTACATACGTGACCCGCTTGATACCTTTGTGTCACTTCCACGGGTCTCCTTCACGAACATGGGAGGGTTTGGCCCAGATCCCCCACTCATGCTGGCACTGTCTTCCACCTCTTGCCCACCCCATCATTCCCTTTCCTAATGTGATATTCTACTTGGATGGTCTGGGTGCAGGAGGAGGCATTTTTCCTCTTCAGTAATGTTGTTGCAAAACCTTCTCTGTGCTCTTTTTCTTACATGGAAAATCAACTTGCCAATATATAGCTCACCTAAAGTGCCAGTACATACTTGGCCAGTGGGTAGGCTGGTTGGGCATCTCCACTAAGTAAATTTGGGCATTTAAGACTGTTGTGAGCTGGGAACTATGGGAAGTAGACTGTGAGATGGAGCTCAGTGTGCGGGATGTTTGTTAGAAAGCCTTTTGGAAACGCCAACCATGGCAGGGAGAGGATGGAAACAGAAGTGGGCAGAGGGAGAATTTGAGTTGGGACAGAGTCCCAAAATGGTCTTGGCCAATGGCACTTGGCTAGCCAGAGTTTGAAGGACTCTTCAGAGTCTGCCCAAGTCGGGGGTGAGGACGGGGTGTGGGCCTCCCTGGGGAGTGAGCAAGACTTGGGTGTGGTGACTTTCTCCAACTGAGGCAATCCCCGAAGGGGGCTGGGAATTAGGATCTGTGAGTTGGTAGCCCTCCTAGTAGCTGGGCACCCAGTCTCTCCAGTCTTTCATTCCTGAAGGACTACCTGGGTAGCACATCATAGAGCTTAACCCAGAGGCTCTCGAAGTCTCCTCTAGGTCAGTCCTGCCCTGACCGCTCTGGGACCCAGGTCTGCTTCTCCTGGCTCTGCTGTTCCTGGCCCCACTTCCTGTTGGCTGCATCTTTTGTCAGACCAGGGTCCTGATCTCTTGCCTTCAGACCCAACCTGACAATCGGATGTGGTTACTAAGTACCTGGGGAATTTCTCCCCGTTTCTGGGCTTCCCTCTGACCCCAGTAAAACCTTCTCTAGAGGAAGGACGTGAGCCCTTGTCTTCACCAGCCAGCTCCTGGTTTTTGCACTTATGGAAGGGAGCCATGTCCCTAATCATGCAAAGCAGCAGATAATACAAAATCATTTACATTTGTCCTTCAGTTGCATTACGTGATTGCAAGGGGATGGAAGAAGTGTGATGGCATCAAGTAAGTAAGTGCACTGTGGATACAGACCACCTAGTGTGTACCTCGGCTTTATCACTTACTAGCTGCATGACTTGGAGTAAGCCTCACTGTACCTCAGTTTCCTAACCTGAAACAAGGAGAATTTAACAATTGTATCTATATCATAAAACTATTGTCAGCATAATAAATCATGACATATCCAGCCCTTGGAGTTGTGCCTGATTCATAGTAACTGCTCAATAAATGTTTGCCTTGGATGGTAATGATTGGTAGAGAGTTTTGTTAAAATGTTTATTTTTATTAATATTTTTTAGAGACAGGGTCTTGCTCTGTCACTCAGGCTGGAGTGCAGTGGTCCATTGCATAGTTCACTGCAGCCTCAAACTCCTGGACTCAAGAAATTCTCCCACCTCAGACTCCTGAATAGCTAGGACTACAAGTGCACACCACCATTCCTGGTTGATTTTATGATTTTTTTTCTTTGAATTTTTGTAGAGATGGGGTCTTGCCATGTTGCCTAGGCTGGTCTCAAACTCCTGGCCTCAAGTGATCCTCCCACCTCAGCCTCCCAAATTGCTGGGATTACAGAGATGAGCCATCGCATCTGGCTCCAGTGTTATTTGCCATCATCTTCACTTAATTGGAGTTGACCCAGAAGATTTCAAATGTCAGGAGAAGTAGTTCTGGCATTAACGGACTGCCATGAATGTTATACAAGTAGATCAAGTCCAGACAGCCACCTAGACAGGACATTGTAGGAGTCAGCACCAGGGACAGCTCCCAATCTCCATCTCAAGATAGATTTTTCCTCCAAAGAACAATGAACCACAGAAACCATTTCAACTGCTCATCCTGCAGGCCCCTTGACAAGATAAGGGTCCCCCAGACTGGGCCCCAAATGTTCATCATCCAGCGATGATGTCTGTGTCTAATCAAGATTGCCCACAGGTGCCATGGAGAAAAGACCGAAGGAGCCAGAGAGAGGGAACTTAGAGTCCTGGGTCCGTCCTCACCAGTGCATGTACTTGAGGGGTGGAGATAGGAGAGGGTCCTCCTCCCTGCTCTGGGGCACCCTTTTCTCATCTGCAAAGCAAAGGAGTTTGTTCTCCCAAGACTTGCCATGCTCTGGCAGGCTTTGGGTCTGTGCTGGTCCTCTGGGGATGGAGGCCATGAGTCCCAAGGGCCAGCAGATGGCGCCCTCTGTCCTATGTCCACCCATGGGGCAAGGTTTCCTGGCTGGCAACCCACAAGACACCACTGAAGATCTCAAAGCTGGCTGGAGTGAGTGGAGTCCTTGAACCCTGAGTGTCTCCTTTCTCCATTATCCCTTCGATATCCGCTTCCCAAAACCCCATCCCCTGCCTCTCATCACCATGGCAGCAGGTGCTGAGGCTGTGCCTGCATATGAGATGAACGTTTGTCCTGCTTTTCTATCTGACCCTGTATTGCTGCCTGGTCCTCTGCCTTCCCCTGAGAGGTCTGCATTGCAGGGCTTGGGGAACAATCCACCCAGTTCCTTCTCCTTTTCCCCACTCCTCCTGTCCTCCACCATAGGATGTTCTGGGTTGGTCCAGCACAGTGGAGCCATGGGGTAGAAGGGAAAGGGAAGCCCCAGCCTTGCTTCCTGTCCTGTGCTGCTCTTTTGTTCCATGAGAGGCTTGTGTTTGCTGGGAGCAGGGGGTGATTCTGAGTCACAGGAGGTCAAGAAGTGGAAATGAGGTCCTGAGACATGAGGGTGATGGATACTGTAGTCTCAAGCACTTGCTCAGGGCCAAGCGCACATCTCACTTAAGCACACGATGCAGGCACCATCATTATGAAGTCTATGGCCAGAGAGGTTCAAGTGTTTAGCGAAGGCCATGCAGCAAAGGAGTGGCAGAGCTGAGCCTCACGCCCAGTCTGTCTGACTCTGGGGGTGAATTAAACAATGTGACATTGTGGGGAGGGATCTTGGCCGAGAGTCAGCCAAACGTTTCTGATCCTGGCTCTGCTCCTGAATGTAGTTGTTTGACCTTCGATGTGGAGCTTCCTCGGTTCCCCCATTGGAAAACAGAAGGATTGGACTAGGATGCTCTCTAAGGATCCTCCAGCTCTAAGAGTCTATGAATAGACTTTCCCTGGGATGAGAGCTTTTTAAAAACTGTTTGCAGGAACCCACATATGCGCAAACCCAGCCTTATGTACAAATGGAGTAGGCGGCAGCCTGTATGGTGTGAATGATGGCTGCTAGGAAGAGCCCCTGCCCGAAATATTTCCATCGCTCATCCACTGCCAATGTGCTTGGAGTTTGCCGTTCCAGAGCCATGCCTTCACCGAGTTCCTATTTCAAAATGCAAGCGCCTCAATGCGGCCTAAGAGATTATGTCCTTTATTTCTGGGGGAAGGGAACTTTTGTTTTGATGGATGTCAAAACTGGTTTGCATTTCCTGAGTTTAAAGTAATTCTCTTGCAGGTGAGAGTAGCCTGCTCAGTGCCAACTGGGAGAGCAGAGCCTTTCTTCCATTCAGTAGTGGGGAGGGCACTGGGGAGGCCGCTGGAGGATGCCCATTGCTTTATGGAGCATCCTTGGCTTTGGCTCCAGGTAGACTCAGTCTTGAATCCTGGCAGCCAGGTGACCTTTTGGGATACACTCTGACTTCCTCCTTCCTGGAGCCAAGTCCTTCATTTCCCTGGGACTTAACACACACAGGCTGCTGGAATGGCTTCTTCCGGAAGAGGAGGGATCCAGCCCCACTGAGTGAGTATGTTCCCAGGAGCGGCCTGGAGGCTGATGCCTAGGAAATGCCACCGCCTCTCCCCTGGCTCCTCTTGGCAAGCCCGTCTCTGCACCCCTCCCTGTCTTTCCACCAGCCTGTTGGAGGCTGATGGACAGGAAGTTGTCATCTCCTCCCCCCACCCAACATCACCACCACTTCCTTCACCCTGTCCCCTCCTGGCTCCGGGTAGCGATGAAACTCTTCCCGATGAGGGGTACCTGCACCATCCGGACCCTCTCTAAATGGAGGGCAGCCACGCTCAGCGGGCCAGGTAAGATGATGTGGGAGGTGCCTGGCACATGATGGGTGCTTGATGCATGTTGGTGACACCCCACTTCTTTCTGTCCTCCTTGCATTTATGAGGTCAGGTTAAACATAGGGGGCACAACCACATGGTGAGCTTGTGGCTGAGCTATGGCCACACACACTCTTCTCTCTCATAACCCATTGGTCCATTCAGCCCTGGAGATCTTGACAGAGGGCAGCTGTCACAGAGCCACAAAATAGCAGTAAGGGACATTGCCTGGTACAAAGTAGAGCTTGAATGATTGTGCTGTACTCAGGATAACATGCAGAGTCCGTCGTGGGCTCCTCTAGCCTCTGTAGGGTCTATCTGGCCCCTCTCCAGCTCTTTGACTGTGTCTTGCTACTTCCCTGCTTGCTGATTCCACCTTAGCTGCATGAACCTTCTCTAACTTCCTGGAACATACAGGCCCTTGCAGCCCTCCCTCTGGAATGGTGTCCCCCAATATCTGCATGGCTCATTCCCTTGCTTCCTTCAAATATCTTGAAGTGTCACCTCGGCAGAAGAGCCTTCCCTGACCACCCTAACTAAACTAACACCCTCTTCACTCCCTATTCTTCAAAGCATTGCTCTCCCTTACCTGATAGATTTCTTTGTTTGTTTGCTTATTGTGAGAATCTAGTGTCATACCTGATAATTTCTACAACACATTTTTGTTTGCTGCTGTATCCCCAGCACTGAGAACAGTACCTGGCACTCAGCAGGTGCTCAGTAAAGATCTGTGGCCCGAATGAACAGATGAATGAATGATACATGTGGGCAAGACCAGTGCTTCTAACATAAGTTCTCCAGATCTCTAGAGGGCACCAGAGGCTGTCCCAGGGGTTCTGCAGCTGCTCAAAAAGAGCAAACGGGACCAAGAATTTACTTGGGATTAAATCCATATTGGCTATTGCTTAATAAATGAAGTTTTTTCTAACCATCCATTCAGAAAACATTTATTGAGCACCTACTATATGCCAGGCACAATGTCAGGCATCAGCATTACAATGCGGACAGAGACAAGCACATTCATGCCATTTTGGAGCTGGCAATGTCATTGGGGAGCTGACGATATTCAGAGTGGGGTCAGGGCGCCTGCACCAACAGGATTTCTGACGCCATCTCCAAATGGTCCTGACAGTTTCCCTCTGCATTTGGAGCAAATCTGCCCCCTTGAGAACATTTCCTTCTTCACCTCAGTCTTGGCCTTCCAACTTATAAATAAGACATTTGTACAGGATGATCCTTAAGAACCTCCCCGGCTCCCACATTTCCTGGTTTCCTGGGAAACTCAGGAGGACAGAGGCATTGGGTGCTTCTGATCTTGGGGGAGCCTGAGATATGGAGGGACAGCTTAGTGCTGGGGTCCAGATGAGGACACTCTGTGTGCCAGGCTTGGGGGGTAGCCCCTCCCTGCTGCCCCCATGCAGGGAGATAGTTCTTTTCCTTTGTCAGCATCCTGGCACAGCATGCAAGGAGCTGCCTTCCCTTGAGTGGCAAAAGCCAGGCTGAGTGCCAACTTGTTAGGAATAGCTTCACCACTACCCAGAGCCAGGAAGGGCCAGAGCGGAGGATGTGGTGGCAATGTTGGGTGGAAGGAGAGGGTGACAGCTTCCCGTTCATCAGCCATCAGCCTCTGACAGACTGCTGAAAGGGAAGGGAGGGGTGCAGAGATGGGCTTGCCAGGAGGAGCCAGGGAGAGGCGGTGGCATTTTCCGGGCATCAGCCTCCAGGCCTCTCCTGAGAACACATCCACCCAGTGAAGCTGTTGCTGGCTGGATCCCGCTACCCCTGGAAGAAGACATTCCAACAGCCTGTGTGTGCTGAGTCCTGAAGTGAGGGATTTGGCTTGCGAGGCAAGAAGTCAGAGCAGAGCTGGAAAGGAAGACTTTTATGGGGAGAGTGGGGAGGACTGTCTCTAAAGAGCTCCGCCAAAAAAAGCAGGAAATGTTTAAGTCGGGTATCAGGAAGAACATCTTGGCAGGACCAGTTGTCATTTTATTATCAAAGAGGACTGTGGATACCTGTGTAGAGGTGGTTGTTTCTGATTTCTGAATCATCCATATGAGCTCTGATTCATTCATTTGTTCATCCATCCATCCATCCATCTATCCATCCATCCATCCATCCATCCATCCATCCATCCATCCATCCATCCTTCCATCATCCATCCCTCTTACTGTGTGCCAGTGCTGAGCCCTAGGCAAGGGAGATAAATAGGACAAAGTCCCCGCCCTCCAGGAGTCTATGAGTGGGACAAGACACATGCCTAGCTGACTAAAACACACACCCAAAGTGGTTGTTGGCATCTTAGAAGGACCAACATGAGTTTAGAAGAGAGATGACACTTGGGACCAGGTGGTCACAGAAGGCTTCCTGTAGGAGGTGGTATTTCAGCTGGACTTTGCAGTATCTCAGAATACCCAGGAAGAGAGGACAATGTAGACACAGACTCAGAGGTGGGAGAGTGCAAGGCCCAGGCAGGACTGGCAGCCTATCCTGTGGTTGAGGCATGTGGTTTCCGCAGGGGTGCTGAGGTCACCTGACCTTAGCCTTGGCAGGAAGGCTGGGTCACCTGACCCACATCTGGCCTATCAGTAGAGTCCGTTCTCCTGGCTACATGATTGGTTCCAGAATGGCATGTGATCCAAGATGTTCCAATGAGAATCAGCCATGGGACTTTTGCTGGAATCACCCCCATCCCCTATGTCATTTACAGACAATGGAATTCTCTTCTACACAGCCTCTGGTGGAGAGATAGCCAGACCAGGAACTGAGGTGTGGGCTCGAGCTCCGGCTCTGTTCTATACCCAATATGTAGTCTTGGGCACACTCCTGCCTCCCCTGGGTCTTCATTTCCATGTTTGTAGAAGAAGGAACTCAAGGTAGATTACCTTCGAGGTGCTACTTTTACACTCTGGAGTTGGACATCTCTTAGGCCCATCTCCTCTCCATCCCGATGCCACCATCTTGTGGGGAGGTGGGTGGATGGGGAGGAGTTCTGCTGGATATCTGAGCACACAAACACAAAAACATCCAGCAGTTGTTATTATCTGCAGTTTCTTGGCTCTTCCTTGCTGTACTTCTGCTTCCCTCCATTTTTAACAAGATCGGGGTGGGGGGGGAATTGACGAGACTTTGCATATTGAAAGAGGCTGGAAACCCTGCCTGTCTCTCGCCCTCACTCTCTGACGGCAGCTCAGGCAGGATGGGCTGCCTGTCTGCCACCCAGCAGAGCCCAGCTCCAGCCCACAGCGTGGAGGCTCGGGGGCTCTGTCTCCTCCTGGCATCTCCTCTGTCTCTGTTCCCCGTAAGACTTGGGAAGTTCATTATTTCCCTGACTGGCTTTTCTGGCGAGACTCAAATTAATTTTCCATCTCTCCTTCTCTCCCAAGCTTCGCAATCATTAAATGCCAGGGAAAGTTAAATAAACAGCTGATTTACAGAAGCATTTCCTTTCTTTCTTTCTTTTTTTAAAAGCAGGAACCTCTATTAATCAGTTGTGCTGAGAGCGGTCTGATTAAGCAGTTGGCGCGCCCTTCAGAGGAGTGAGTGTGGGGTCAGGAGGCCTAGCGACTGGCAAGAGGCTCCCAATCTGGGATACAAATAACGCAGGCCCCTGCCTGCTCCATCTTCTCTCCACAGAGGTGGGGGGCAGGCCTTTTCTGCGTGGAAGGACAAAACAAGGCACTTGGCTCAGACCTGAGGTCTCTCCACTATCCTGAGCTGAAAGACTTTAAAAAATATTTTCACACAACTCCACTGTTAACACACAGACTCAGAGAGGGGAAGGCACCTACCCTGGGTCACACAGCAAGGTCACAGCAATGCTGGGATTAGGATCCTGAATTTCAGTTTGGAACTAAGGGATGAGGAGGCTTCTAGATTCGCATGCCTTGAATAATTTGACAAGAAAAGGCAAGCACGTCACATATACTGGCACTTTCAGGGAGCCACAAAGAGAACATGCACAGAAATGTTCTGCACACATTCAAACACAGAGGCATCCCCAGGTATGTGCGCACACAGGCACACCTGCTCCTGGAGCTGGTACCTGAATTGAATCTCTGGAGGCTACAGTGATTTTACCATCTGCCTGGACTGGGTGTCCCCACCCATAACCCCTTCCTGGACTGTCTCGGGTGGGTGGAGACCCTCTGACCACCCATCTCCCACTCAGGCCGGGGCTTTCAGACCTTAAACCCTGTTTCCAGCCTCATTGTGAAGCCAGCACAGCCAGGAGTTCAATGAGAAGAGTCAACAATCCTGGGTCCCCCTTGATGGCTGGTGACTCTAGGCCTCCTGAAACTCACCAAGGACAGTGAATCTCCCCTTCTCTAAAATGGACACAAGTTCTTATTTCTCAAGGCAGTGGTGGGAATTAAATAAAGGTTTGTAAAGCACCTGCTTCTGGATTTGTTCAGCAAATGTGTATCAAGGGCCCTGTTCCCCAGGGGCACTCGATCTCTGGTCTTCCTGCCTTGGCACATAGTAGGTGCTCAGTAAACAGAAGTTGTCAGTATCATTCGCCTATCAGGCATTGACTGAGAATGACCTCACGCCAGGTACTAGGGCAGGTTCAGGTTCAGAGGCAAATGGCTAGAGGAATATGGCTGAGTGTCTCCAGGGAGGAGCACTCAGGGTAGTAGGTGAGACACACACATAAGAAAGTGATTCCAAATGACATCAAAAATGCTATTAAAGATGAAACAGTACTCACAACAATAATTAGAGTTCACGTATCTAGGTGCCTACTGTACTTCCAGGGGATGTGCCAAATGCTTTGCCTCTTTGCCTTAAGAGATTCTTACAACAGCCTCATGGGTTGAGTACTGTTATTTCCATCATTTTACAGATGAGGAAACTGAGGCACAGAGAGGGCGAGTAACTTATCCAAGGTCACACAGCTGGTACATGGTAAAAGGGGTAGTGAAAACACAGTGGAAGCGTAACTAACTCCAAAAGGGGAGTCCAGCAGCAGGACATTCCTGAAAGGGAGAGCTTTAAGGTGAGCCTTGAATCCTGAGACCACCCCTGTCCTTCCTTTTCTGCTCATCAATGCCATCCCGTCCTCTCGCTTCTACCCCAGAGAACCAGCCCCATGCCTGACTCTCAAGGGACAGTCATATGACCGTGCTAGCCCTGGCTTATGGGACCCAGGTGCATGTCTGACCAATGAGACTGCGATCAGACCCAAGAATTTAAACCCACGTAACCAGAGAGTGGGAGCTGTGGTGGCCTCAGACTGGAGGGTCAGAGAGGAGCTAGCGCCAAGGAGAGAAGGAGAGGAGGGCAGAGGCCAGAGGTGGGGGGAAAAAGAGAGAATGCACCTGCTTTGCCTCTGAGTCCTTATGATTTCTGAGTTCTAGAGGACCAGCCATTCTTCCAGCTTCTGGGGTTCATGGACAACCTGCAGCTTGATAATCAGATCCCCTGGACTTAAGTGAAACTAGCGTGGCCTCCAGTTTCTTGTCCCCAAATAATGCTAGCCCTAGGGCAGGTGAGTAGACAGGTTCGTGCTGGCCAGAGGAAACAGGAAAGGGCGCCCCTGGAGGGGAGAGGGGTTCAAGCAGAGGCCTGGACACCTGCAGGCTACAGGAGGAGTGCGAGGGGGCCTTGGCAGGGTTTTTGGGATCGGATAGCTCGGAGCCTTTGGGCCTCTCTGCCTCAGAGTTTGTGCCCTCCGCCTTGTCACAGAGGCCCGGTAACTCATTTTCAATCAGGCCCCGTCCCCAGCACACAGGCAGAGTTAATTAAACATAGCCTTCCCTTCAGCAAGGAAATAAAAAGCAACCTCCTGATACAACAATTAGTATTTACAGCCCCGCCCCCTCTCTTCCTTCTCCTGCCTTCTCCTAATACCGCACCTTCATTATCTCAGACTTGGAACTCGCTCTGCCTGCCGTCCATAAATTAGTTTGAAGAATTTAGGAGGAGTGGGGGAAGAAGGGAGAGTGCCCTGGAATGGGGAGACAGGGCCAGCTGCAGTGCTGGCGGGAGCCTGAGTTCAGGGTTGGAAAACCAGGTTGCTGAGCTGCTGAGAACAGGCGTCTCAAGCTTTCTGTTTTCTCTTCCATATCACAGGGATTATACAGATATATATTAGACCCCAAAGTGCACTTCCCAGTCAAAATGGCTGGTCCAGCACCAGCCTCTAAGTAAAGGCTGTGCCATCCCATTTGCAGAAGCTCCTTTCTTTCTTTCTTTTTTTTTTTTTTTTTTGAGATGGGGTCTTGCCCTGTTGGCCAGACTGGAGTGTAGTGGAGCAGTCTTGGCTCACGGCAGCCTCAACCTCCCAGGCTCAAGGGATCCTCCCACCTCAGTTTCCCAAGTAGCTGGGACCGCAGGTGCATGTCTACCTTATAGGACTGTTGTCAGGATCAAATGCGATGTGTAAAGAAAGTGCCAAGCACAGTGCATGGCATGGACACATCCTACCTGTTTTCCTCTTGCTCCCACCGCAGGTAAAGCCAGAGACCTGGGCTCTAAACCAGCAGGACCACAACCTTGCTGTGTGACATCAGATTGCCTGCTTGGCTTCTCTGGGCCTCCGCGTAAAGCATGTCCTGCAGAGAGCTAGAGGGCAGGCAGAAAGGAGCAAGTGTTCTCGCCTAAGACTGCTGTGCTGCAACCCTCCCTTGCTCCACTGTTCACTTGCTGTATGAACCAGCAGTCTTTAACTCCACGCTTCTCTTTCCTTGACTGTAGAATGGAGGTGATGCCTGCCGTCCTTGAGGGGTCGAAAGCGTTAGTGTTGGAATATTCAGAACAGTACTCAGTGCATGATCTGTGCTTGAAAGATGTCAGCTATTTGTATTTTTATTTTTCATCTGGTCCAGCCCCTGCCACCAGACAGGACTGAAGCCAGGCAGTGGAGCCTGTTCTTAGAGGCTGAATCTGGAGTTTTCCTCACAAGTGATTCCAGAAAGGAGAGTCCCCCCTCTTGGACCACTGTTGTGAGATCTAAGATTATGAAGGCTCAGATGAGTTCTTTGTGTCCCAGTTTCGTCTTTTGTGAAACAGAGCTGCTTATGCCTACCATGCAGGGCTGCCAGGAGGATGAAGAGGGATAAAGGTGCAAAAGTCCTGCTGTGTGGCTCTTACCTCCATCACTGACACCCTCAGTGGACTAACAGATCCCTACTATCCTGAAAGTCTCCAGCAAACCAGAGCGCTTGTTGAGCACCTGCTCTATGTGGGCATCATGCCAGCCTCTGGGACTGGAGGCAGAAGACAAACCTGGAACTGCCTGCTCTCAAGAGCAGAGGTGCAAACCCCACATGCATTAAACCAAAACAGTGGCTCCAACCTCCGGGATATGATGAATCCTTCCCAGGGAGTAATAAATCTACAGCTGAGTGGTGAGATACAGATCCAAGCTCCAGAGGAGTTGAAGAACAAGAAAGGAGCTTCTGAGAAATGGGTGGCACAGTGTCACTGAGGGGCTGGCACTGGCCCAGCCGTTTTGACTTGGAAGTGCACTTTGGGGTCTAACCTGAATCTTTCCTGCTGCAAAAGGATACTATTTTCTCCTGATCCCATCATCCCAATGATGGCTATTATGAATTAGAAGCCGAGTGGACAAATGTAAGGTAAGACTAGCAAATAATTAGATGGACTTCCTTGTGGGACTCAGCAATGACTCGGAAGGCAATTCCCAAAGCAGATCCAGCCATGTCCGGAGCCCTGGCAGCGCTGAGCCCCCATGATGACACCCTGGAGGGGTGGTGTTGATGGCAGTAGGTGAGCACGAGGCCATTGGTGCCAAGATCCATCTCTCTGCTCCACATGTACCCCTTGGAGATGGATTTTCATTTAAAACATATTTTTAAGAAATTTGGGATTTGCTAGAGATGAGGTCTGGACACACTCAGAAAGGACAGAATTGACCTCGGTCTTAGCCCCCTTCCCCAGTTACTAATTATCACTGAGCTAACCATCAGTGAACGTAACTGAGCTGCATGACCCATGGAGCAGCTGGGATGAGCTGCCTTTAAACCCAGTTCAAAATCCACCCCAGTTTGGAGAAAGCATCCTTTTGGTCTGAACAAGGCTGATGAGTAGAGCAGGCCATGGTGAAATGGTTTTCTTTCCTTGCTCCCCTTTGGGATGAAGGACCATCCCTTCCTCCCTGTCTCCTGGCCCAGCCCCTAGTGTGTTTGTTTGTTCCTGGGTGGTGGGGAGGATTCTCCACTTCTCGGTCACCCCGGGGATGTGCTGCTCAGAAAAGTCCTCTCTTCCTGTCCTCTCCCGGGCACTGCTTCCTGCTCCAGCTCTGATTCCCGCCTTCATTTCTGCATCTGGACAGCAGGCTGGGCCAAGCTTCCCGGTGGGGCATGGTGGCTATGTGGGTAGGCTCTCAGGCAAGTGATTTTGCCTCCCTAAGCCTCAGTTTCCTCCACTGTAAAATGGAGATAATAAAGATGGTGCCTTCCACGAGAGAGATGCATTTAAGGCACTTAGAACAACATCCAGACACAATGCAAGTGCTTATTAAATGAGAGCTGTTACTATTTCTGTTCCCCGTCTCGGGGACTGGCTGGGAGGCCTCATTCCAGGCCCAGGGGATCTGACAGATCCCAGCCTAGGACTCCAGGAAGAGCAGAAGGGTGACAGCAACCATATGGCTGCCAATGGAGAGGCTTCTCTATGCTCTGTGACCCACCCGGCCCCGCAGATAAGAGAAGCCAGCAAAACCTGGGAGGTCCTGGCCCTCGTGAAGTTCACATTCTAGTAGCAAGAGGAAACAGACAGCTAACACATAAGCTCCTCAGTCCTGACTGAGGAGGGGAGGAGGGGGCAGAGTCTACCACTCAGAGTTCTGGAGGGAGGGCAGAGGCAGAGGGAAGTCAAAGTTAGACCAGGAGCAACGAGAACAGATCAGCCTTGCCACTTTACAGCAAGGAAGAGCCTCCACTCTTCCTTATATCACTGTCTCCTCCATGTATCACTGTCTGCCTCACCGCAAAGTTGATGTATCTGGTGTGCTGTCTCTCTCCAAACACCAGACTCTAAGCTTCCTGTGAGCACAGACCTGGACTTGCTCATTGCTGCATACCCAGCACCTGTCATAGTGTCTGGCACAGAGCAGATGCTTCATAAATACTTTTTGAAGGAATGGATGGCTGCATTTAGGCAGGATGGCCTTGCAAGTCTTTCCTGGGGCATGGGATGGCCACACTTTGTGGCTTTCAGTCTCCTGACTCTGGGAGGCTCTTCCTTGCTGTAAAGTGGCAAGGCTGATCTGTTCTCATTGCTCCTGGTCTGACTTTCAGCTGGGGCTGAAGTGCCTGGCCGGATCCCCCTCCATGGCCATAATTCCCCTGCCTGCCACCCAGCCTGCCCAGGGTGATAGAGAGCCCGTGACTTCCCTCTGCCTCTGCCCTCCCTCCAGAACTCTGAGTGGTAGACTGTGCCCCCTCCTCCCTGCATGCACCTCATCCCATTGGTGAATCCTGTGCCTGCCATTCTATGTGGAGTCTTGGTACCCAAAGGTGAATTCCCAAAAACAGACCTGGCTTCAACCCACCACTTACCCACATGTGACCTTGGTCAAGCCCCTTCTTCGCTCTGAGCCTCGGTTTTCTCATCTAGGTAATGGGTAGTAGCAATTCCAATCCCAAAGGGTTGGTGTGAGGGTTAAGTCTGGAGACAGTGTCCCATGGTGGTTGAAAGCCTCACCTTTGAATATGTTAGAGGGGTTCAAAAACAGGTGTGGACAATTCTTAGCTGTGTGACTTTGGGCAAGTGACAGTATTCTACTAAACATCAAATTATTTCTATAGAACAGGGATAACAGTAAAAATAATATTGAATCCATTATTTTTCTGTGATGATTAAAAGAGTTAAGGCATGGAAAGTGTATTAGTCCGTTCTCATGCTACTATAAGGACATACCTGAGACTGGATAACTTATAAAGAAAAAGAGGTTTAATGGACTCACAGTTCCACATGGCTGGCAAGGCCTCACAATCATGGTGGAAGGTGAAGGAGGAGCAAAGGCACATCTCACATGGCAGCAGGCAAGAGAGCTTGTGCAGGGGAACTGCCCTTAATAAAATCATCAGATCTCATGAGACTTATTCACTATCATGAGAACAGCACAGCAGAGACCCACCCCCACGATTCAGTGACCTCCCACCAGGTCTCTCCCACGATACATGGGGATTATAAGAGCCACAATTCAAGATGAGATTTGGGCAGGGACGAAACCAAACTGTATCAGAAAGCATTTGGTACTGTGCTTGGCACATAAACAGTTTACATCTGTTAGTTCTTCTTTGTCTCTTTGGCTGGGCATTTAGTAGGTGCCAAAAAATAATAAATACTTGAACTTGCTCTCTTTAGAAGTCAAGGCTTTTGTTATTGTTGTTATGAAGATGAATATTGGGAAGATTTGAATTTGCCAATTTCTGCTGGCCTGGGAGGTTTACTGTCCTGGGCGTGGCTATCCTTCTGTAATTGTCAAAAGAGCTCTTCTCATCAAATGAATATTGACAAGAGCAGGATCCTGTCAACAGTGTTTAGAGTCCTTCCATACCTCTTATCTGCCTGTGTCCTTCACTATCCCTATTTGACAGGAGAGAACATCAAAGCCCAGGGAGGTTTGGCAAGTTGTCTGGGGTCACACAACACAAGGATACAACCAACACTTCCAGGCTCTTGTGAAGCAATCAGAGTGCCAGGCCACCAGCATCACCGTTATCACCATTACTATCCTCTGTAGGTGAATGGGATGTTAAGGTCTTTCAGCTATTTCCATAACTCCATCTCACGTGATCCTTTCAACAGCCCTGTGAGCTGTGCAGGACAGGACCAATCACATGTTACTGCCATTTTTCAAAGAGGAAAACCCGAGACTCAGAGGAGGCTCAGATGGGCCTAAGGTCACAAAGAGCCAGTGGCCTCCTGACACCCAGCCTGGTGCTGTGGCCTCCCACGATGGTGTCGGACTGGCTTCCCTGTGTCCCCCACCTCCCACTCTTCAGCTTCTTTCCCACCCACCCCCCACTCCCAGATCCCACTCTGAGAGGCCTCAGCTGGGAGCATCGAAGGGCTGGGCCCCTGTTACAAGACCTCAGAAACTACATTATGGGCCTAAGACCCCCGAACACTAACATGCAATGATTTTTTTCCTTCTCTAGAGGAGCAGAAAAGATTCATAGCCTGCGATGATTGACTCTGCTTTTAACCAAGTTGCGTAGAAGCAACGAGTGTCACTTCCAGGAAGATGGATGATGTCTCTGCAGCGGGGGATGAGAGCCCAGAGGTTTGCAACTTCCCTGGTAAAAGTTTGTTCTTGTTTAGAACACCTTGGGGTTCGAAAAATATGGATCCATTGGAGAACGTGGTGAAGCTTGTCACGGTGAGTTTCCAGTGAGTTAAAGGAGCTGGAATTTAACGTCATTCTGGCCCCATCAAGTCTTCCCCAAGGAGGGCAATCTACAAGGTCAGACCAGCTCCCTACACTGGGAACGTGCACTTGATCCAGTCCCCGACCAGCTCTGAGCCCTGGAACCCACCAGGTTTTCCGAGGATTAAATGAGTTGATGTAGGCAAGGCACTTGAAACCCTGCCCAGCACATAGCAGGCTCAAGGTCAATGTAAACCATTTATTATTACTATTCAGAGTATTCCTAGAATACCAGGTGGAGGGGAGGAGCCATGCAGGTAATATAGTTGTATTTGAGTTTGGTGGAGGGAATGAAAGGAGAACAAATCTCTCCTGTCTTTGTTTCTGTCTCTCAGTGTCCTGAACCTTGCATCCCAATTGCATTTAAACACACACACACACACAACAGTGAGAATAGCAACAACAACAACAAAAGCAAGGCTCAGCTCTGAGAGAAGCGTCCATGTGCGGGCAGGTTCTCAGACAGAAGCCCGGGAGAAGACAGCCCAGAGGTGAAGCAGCAGTGCCAACACCAGTTTCACAAACCAGCTGTTTCACCGGCCGTGGAATGTCATGGGTCTCTGGGCTCCGGGCTGGGAGTCCATAGCTGGGGCCTGCAGTGCTGTGTTTAAACATCATGCGCTGTGATGGGCTTGTGTGCAGGGAGCGGAGGGTCTGGATGCACTCAGGAAATGTCATTTCTGAGCCTGGGGCACTCTCTCTGGTCAGGAGAGACCCGAGCTGATGAGCCTTCCCCATTAGCTCCATCACTGGCTCCTCTGGCTTTGAGAGGGAGTGGTTGCATCTCCCCTCCAGGATCAAAGCCGCCGCTCTCTTTCTTTCCTGTTCCTGCCTTTTGTCTGCTCTTCTGTCTTGCCCAGAAATGATCTGGGGGAGAGCAAGGTTGTGTCAGGGAGTGGGGCTGAGGTATCTGCTCCAAGCTTTTGTGCTCTCCAGACCCCTTCCTGCACACCTGCACCTGCTGCCAGGTTAGATAACCTCCTTCTCGATCCAAGGGCTCTCAGCAGGAGGGCACAGGGCTGTGACCACACATCATTAGAATGACTTTCAGAAAGTGCTTATTGTGTGCAGGTACCAACCTGCAGTATCTCTTTCAGTTCTCCCAGTAGCCCGCTGAGGAAGCTGTGGTGACCCCACTGTAGAGATGAGAAAACTGAGACCCAGAGAGATAAAACAAATTGTGCCAAATCATAGTTTGAAAGAAGCAGAGTCAGGATTTGAACCCAGCTATGTGTGATTCCATTCTTAACCACTGCGCTGCCACGTGCTTTACCAAATGGAAGGCGTGGCATGGTGGCGCGTGCCTATAGTCCCCGCTACCTGGGAGGCTGAGGTGGGAGAATCACTTGAGCTTGGGAGGCTGAGGCTGCAGTGAGCTATAAATGCACCACTGTACTTCAGCTTGGGCAACAGAGTGGGATCTTGTCTCTAAATAAATTAAGTAATTAAAATAAAATAAGATGGGGAATATCGAACAAATTTAGTTTTATTTTTAATTAAAAAGAAAATCCCTCCCCACTGCCCTTTCTAAAACAGATTCCAAAGTTTCCCCACTCATTGATTTATTCGATCCTATGAGAAGGGCTGGAAAATTGCTTTCCCACTTTAGTGATGAGAAAGGTGAGGCCCAGAGAGGTGAAGTGGCCATCTGAGCCCCTGCCACTGGCTTCAAGGCGGCTGTGTCTCCGGGAGGAGCCATCAGGGTGCTCTGCCAGCAGAAGGAATGATGATCATAAACTCATTTCCCAAAGTGTCATTCCCTTCCTTTCAGAGATTGCATTTCAGTCGTTAATAAGGGCAGCATTCCCCAGCCTTCCGTCCCCACCTCCAGTTTCTGAGCTTCCTCCCTCTGCAGCAATTTAACCAAGTTATTCATTAACTGCTATGCACCCAGAAGGTATTTATATCAACTGCACATTTGGAAGTGCAGCAGCCTTTGAGGTGTGGGTAACAAGCTGATGACCTGCTTGGGGACCAGGTAGGATCTAGGAATCCTGCTTTGCCAGCCTCACCTTCCCATGATCCTGAGTGTGCCGAACATAATGGAAGCCTCGATAATGGAAGCCTCGATAATAGAAGCCTCGTATCAGGCAGGGGATTGTCAGATAGGACTATTGTCATTCCGTCACTTTAACCTTTCAGTGGTTTCCCGTCTTCTAACCAGCTTCCTACCTGCCTCTCTGCCTTCCTTTCTGCCTGCCTTCCTGCCTTCTTCCCTCCCTCCCTTCTTTCCTTTCTTCTTCTGTCCCTCCCTTCTTTTTTTCTTCTACCCATCCAGTCATTTATTCATCCATCCATCCATCCATCTTCATTCATTCATTATTTAATTAATTCATTTAATGACAGCCTACCTCATACTGCTGTAATTTTCCTATTTGCCAAAGCACTTATCACCTTTTTGACATACCCAAATAGTTATCTATCTGATATGGTTTGGCTGTGTCCCCACCCAAATCTTATCTTGAATTGTAGCTCCCATAATCCCCATGTGTCATGGGACGGACCCTGTGGGAGGCAATTGCATCATGGAAGCGGGTCTTTCCCATGCTCTTCTTGTGATAGTGAATAAGTCTCACGAGATCTGATGGTTTTATAAAGGGCAGTTTTGGGCCAGGCACGGTGGCTCACACCTGTAATCCCAGCACTTTGGGAGGCCAAGGCGGGCTGATCACCTGAGGTTGGGCGTTTGAGACCAATCTGACCAACATGGAGAAACCCTGTCTCTACTATTAGCTGGGCGTGGTGGTGCATGCCTGTAATCCCAGCTACTCGGGAGGCTGAGGCAGAAGAATCGCTTGAACCTGGGAGGTAGAGGTTGCAGTGAGCCAGGATTGCACCATTGCACTCCAGCGTGGGCCAACAAGAGAGGAATTCCATCTCAAAAATAAATAAATAAATGAAATAAAATAAAATAAAATAAAGGGCAGTTCCCGTGCCCATGCTCTCTTGCCTGCCACCATGTAAGACGTGCCTTTGCTCCTTTTTTGTCTTCTGTTTCCCATGCCATGTGGAACTGTGAGTCCATTAAACCTCTTTTTCTTTATAAATTATCCAGTCTTGGGTATTTCTTCACAGCAGTATGAAAATGAACTAATTATCTATCTATCTATCTATCTATCTATCTATCTATCTATCTACCTGTCATCATTACTTATTGTCATTCTATCTTCACCACCATTTTCCCTATCACACTAAAATAAAAGCCACAAGGGCAAGAATCTTGGTGTTATTTACTTGTGTTCTAAGTGCCATCTAGGAGGTACTTAATAAATATTTGTTGAACGAGTAAATGAACACGACTATAATATTGAAGAAAACACAAATTTATAGGAATTAAGATAAATTGGAGGCTTCAAAGTATATAAAGAAATGCCATTGTCTATGACCCTATAGATATTATTTCCTTTTATCTGCCTTTAGTTCTCCTTATGAGGGAAAGTTTGAGATCCCCCGCCAGTAGGAAGAATTCAAGTTTTTCACCTGTCATCCTGAGTTCCCCAGTCCAACACCTGCCATCCTCTCCTGTGATTCTCTAAAAGGTCCCCCACCCCACCTCACAGCTGGAGTTGGCTGCATGTTCCAAACACACTCTCAGGCATCTTTCCATACATCAGGTCCTTTGCATGTTCTTTCTCCTTCAGGAATCTCCTCCAACCCCTTGTCCATCTGGAAAACCTTCTGCCCACTATTTGAAACTGACTTCAGATTGTATCTTCTTTGGGAAGTCTTCCTGGTCTTTGTTCTCCCCAGTTAGGGCAAAATTAGACTCACACTTTCCCCCTCCTCTACCGAAGAGCATGGCAGGTGGTGAATTTGTTTATTTCTGTCTGTCTCGCCTACGAAATGAGAGCTCTTTGGACCAGGAACTGTTTCCTCTGTACCTAAGACAGAGTGGTATTTGTGGAATCGTTTCTTTCTTTCTTCTTTTTTTTTCTTTCTTCTTTTTTTTTTTTGAGATGGAGTCTTGCTCTGTTGCTCAGGCTGGAGTGCGGTGGCACAATCTCAGCTCACTGCAAGCTCTGCCTCCTGGGTTCACACCTTTCTCCTGCCTCAACCTCCCTAGTAGCTGGGAGTACAGGTGCCCGCCACCATGCCTGGCTAATTTTTTGTGTTTTTAGTGGAGATGGGGTTTCACCGTGTTAGCCAGGATGGTCTTGATCTCCTGACCTCGTGATCCGCCTGCCTCGGCCTCCCAAAGTGCTGGGATTACAGGTGTGAGCCACCACGCCCAGCCAGAACCATTTCAATAATAACTATTTGTGGAATTATTATAACGTTGGTGGTTACCTACTATGTATCAGTGACTATTCTAAGCACTTTAACATCAATACTCATAGTAACTCTGTAATATAGGAACTGTGATTATCTCATTTTTATAAATGAGAAAACAGACACAGAGAGATTGTGGTCATTTATCCAAGGTTATACAGTGAATAAATGATGGCGCCAGAAACAGAACCTTGGTAAGCTGGCTTTACAGCCTTTAAGCTGAATGTCTTTGTGATATTGGACTACTCTTTCCACATGTCTGGGTCTCAGTTTTCCCATCTGTACAATGAATTGTTAGGGTGAGGTAATGTTTAAGAATTCTTTCAATGAGAACTCCCTTTGGATTCTCTTCTATCCAGGGATGATGTCTCCACAGTTAGCAGCCTCCTGCTTGTAGAAATGTGGTTGGGACCCTACAGTGCTGGGGAGGACAGTACCAACAAGTTTTTATTTCTAGGACAGTTTTGGTCTAGAAGGATGAACAGGGGAATGGGTGATAGATTGAATACGTCAGAGACCCTGGACTGTGTTAGATTATATTATTTTCCCTCAGTTCTTTCCATGTCTCCCTTGCCATGGCTTCTTGCCATGCATAGTATGTACTTTCCCACTGACTTTGGACTTGG